AATGTTTGGACATGCTGTTGCTGGTCAAAGATACAGCAAATTGCAAGTGGCAGAAGTCATCGGCGAAAGAGCAAGCGCAACCAATTTTGGGATTTCGTCATCTGGAGGATCACTTTCTACTTTCACTGCAATGCACACACACACACATACACACACACACACAGCTCAGAGCCAAATTGCAGCGTCAGGCATGAACAAAGACAAACATCTCCAGCGATAACCTCTGCCAGATGTTGGAAATCAAGATCAGTTTATTTCTTTCTTTAGTTTTTTATTTCTGCTATGCCCATACTCTACATGTATGTATGTACATATATTTGTATATGCATATGACTTTTAAAAAGTTTTGGCTGCTAGTTGTAGAGGGTATTATCATTTTGTGGGAGACGTCTACGAATCCATGAGTTATACATATATATTCTTGTTCAGTATCAACAGTTAAGTCGTTATAGCCATATCTTTCTATCCGTCTAGTCGCTCAGTTGAGACATAATTCGGAGCACAGATAAATTCGGTTAGCAATAAGGTTCTTGTTTGAGTAACTTTTTGTTTTTTAAGATAGGAATCAAGCTCTAGTTTCTAGTTTTATCAACTTTGGATTGCTATATCATATAGATCTATGGGAAGAAGGGGCCGAATGTGTTTTTGTATGGAAGCTCTTATTCTTCTAGGTATCTTCAGTAAACTAAACGAGCGATGCTCGGTATATCGATTTTTGATTCGATTGAATGCCAATTTGTAGTAGCGATTCGTGCGAATTCAAAAAGGCATAACATTTTAAAATCAGATGATATTTACCAAAGATATTCCAAAAAAATCATCAAAAAAGTTTTGATTTTCGAACCGACCCCGATTTTATGAAAAAACGTGATGTAACCCCTTGCTATTTTGACGATTTTGGTCAAAATTTAGATTTTCATGTTTTTGATGCCAATCGATAGTACAGATCCTTACGAGTCCAAAATGGTATAAAATTCCCAAATCTGACATTATTTGCCCGAGATATTCCAAAAAAACATCAAAATAGGTTGACTTTACAAACGAATCGGTTTTTGGTCAACCACTTTTTTTAACCCATCTATTTTAGAAATGTTTGAATGCCAATTGATAGTAGGGATCCGTAGGAATTCAAAAAGGGAGAACACTTCAAAATCTGACAATATTTACCCGAGATATTCCAAAAAAATCATCAAAATAGTTTTGATTTTCGAACCGACCCCGATTTTTTGAAAAAACCTGATGTAACCCCTTGCTATTTTGACGATTTTGGTCAAAATTTAGATTTTCATGTTTTTGATGCCAATCGATAGTACTGATCCTTACGAGTCCTAAATGGTATAAAAGTCCCAAATCTGACATTATTTGCCCGAGATATTCCAAAAAAACATTAAAATTGGTTGACTTTACAAACGAATCGGTTTTTGGTCAACCACTTTTTTTAACCCATCGAGTTTTGAAATGTTTGAATGCCAATTGATAGAAGGGATCCGTAGGAATTCAAAAAGGTATAAGATTTCAAAATCTGAACATTTTTTACCCGAGATATTAAAAATAAATCATCAAAAAAGTTTTGATTTTCGAACATACCCCGATTTTTAGAAAAAACGTGATGAAACTTGACATTTTTACGATTTTGGTCAAAATTTAGATTTTCATGTTTTACAGATCCTTACGGGTCCAAAATGGTATAAAATTCCCAAATCTGACATTATTTGGCCGAGATATTCCAAAAAAACATCAAAATAGGTTTACTTTACAAGCGAATCGGTTTTTGGTCAACCACTTTTTTTAACCCATCGATTTTGGAAATGTTTGAATGCCATAATGATAGTAGGGATCCGTAGGAATTCAAAAAGGAATAACATTTCAAAATCTGACAATATTTACCCGAGATATTCCAAAAAAATCATCAAATAAGTTTGACATCATTAACTAATAGTGATTCGTCAAAAACGTCGATTTTTGACTTAATTGAATGCCAATTTATACTTAGTATAAAATTTAATTATATAAAAAGGATCTCTACCTTCAGGCTCCTGTGGGAAGTATCGGTCGATTCGTATAAACTTCTAGGGTATTCATATAGAAGGGTGTGGTAATCTTCGGTGTGGAAAAGACAGTTGCTCCTTTCTCCAACAGGAACAATTCCAACAGCAACAATTTATACAGAAACAAACGTTGGATTCGTTTAAGCTTCTATGGCATATATGTAGAAGAGCACCTCAGCTTCGGTGTGGCAAATATCGATGAAGCATAGATCACAGTTGCTGAAAATGCTTGAATACATCCTGCTTACTTAGTTGTGCAAATAATTAACCTCAGCTGTGCACACAGCGTCAGATCCGAGGCACCAGCTGCCAGAGCCATGTAAGCCATATACCCACAACTGGCATTACAGGGTAACAAATGTGTGCTTTGTTGTTATTGTATTTTTTGGAAGTGCTTCGCTTTGGTGTACTTTCAACTTGCATTGACCCCAAAACGAGCGGCCCAGATGGCCAGCGGAGGGGGGGCATTGTGTGGATATGAAGGTGACATGATCAGGGTCATGTAACAGCTGCAGTTGATGAAAAGATTTTCGGATTAATCTTCAATTTGCATTATTTTCATGTGTAACTAATCTTTGTTAAGCAGCGCTTGATAATTTTCTTTCATTTTTTTAAAGGCTTCGAACCTGTTTGCTGCAATTGATCGACTTCTAGATACTCTTTATGAAGTAAAATCAGTTGTGTACGACTTTTATCATGGAGGGCTTTAGCGAAGCATTCAAAATATATGCTATTATTAAATACATCTATATTGTTTTTATAAATTTTTCTAAATTGAAAAAGATATGGGCTAGTTGTAATTGTGTGTAAAATTATGCGTGCTTTCTTCTATCTACCTATCTTCTTCGGCTAAGCTGAGTATACAATTTCTTTGCTTCAAATATATATAAAAACTATTATTTACGATTCCTGGAACATAAACATCGGATATATCTTTAATCTGCAAAACGTCATAGGAGAGCAATAGTTTGTTTTATTTTTTCGAAGACAGAGCTCACAATAGATCGTAAAGCTCTTAAAGCTCCTACTGTTTTATATGCATATGCCCCCTTTTTATGCTGATTACAGGGTATACATAGAAATGTAAGACCATTGCAAATGATTGTGTATTCGAAATTAACATATTCTTTCGAACTGTTCTATAATTCCCAACTACTTTTGAACAGGAATTGCTCTGTAATATGCCCATTAATATATATGTATATCTATATAAATACATCTATCTATATAACTATGTTGCCTATACATCTGTATATCCATATATATGTGATATTCCCGCTCACCCGTAAAATAAAAAGAAAATATTGTTTTTTTTACTGTAAATGTTATATCGTTTGAAAACAATTGAATGTTTCTTTTATTTTGCGCATCGTATTTCATTTGTATTGTTTCTTTTTTTTTCAAATAGTTTTTTTGTTTGTTTTTTTTTTTCGTGTCAATCAACAACTGCATTTGCTGCATTTTGATTTTCAATATAAAAATACATTCGCTTTATTTCTTTCCTCTTCTCATGCTGCTCGATTTGCATCCGTATCTTTGCGCTAGTTGCTGCTAGGAACATCAATTCTACGTGTTTGTTGTTATTGTTGTTGTTTGTGTTGTTGTTGTTGTTGTTGCTGTGCAAAAGGAGAAGCGCGTCTCTCAGCATTTGCCATGGAAACAATCGTTCTATCATTACAATCATAAAAACTACCAAAAAAAAAACATATATATATATATATATTGATATACATATACATATATATAGACGTAATATTACAATATTCGTAATAATTCTAGTTATAAACATTAGAATTTCTTAAATTTTAAATGTTTACACTAATTGTTATTAATATTATTGTTGTTGTTGTTGGTGTCGAATGCGAGATGCTGTTCAATGTAAAAATTATACACTTGAAGAAATTTTCAATGAACTTTTTGCATAATCTGATCTGAATAATACAGAACTTAAGTTCTATACAGTTAATTGGCATGAATTCGTCAAATAAATAGGCGTGTGCTAAAATCTAGGCGACAAAAAAAAAAAAAACAATTACTCAATAGAAAACCTAAACTTAAACTTATGTTGAGATGCTTCATTCGTGATACAAAAAAAAAAAAAAATCGAAGATAGAAATGGAGTGATTTTTTTTTCAAGCAAATAATTATCGAATTAAATTTAATAGGTTTTTCGCGCAGTGTAAACAGTATATTTCCATATATACATACATATGTGTATATATATTTGATTATTTTCCTATGTGTATTTTTTTGTGTTTTTCGTTTTCTTTTGTTTTTTGTTTTTGTTTTTGTTGTTGTTGTAAATATGTGAGAAAGTGAAAAAAAACATCACAGCTAAAACTTCAGTACATTTTTCTTGTGGTTACTTCGAAAACAAAATTAATTAATTAATTAGAAAGAAAAAAAACAAAAAAAAAAAAAGAACAAAATGTGTATATAATTTCTTTATAAATATATGCTTACAATTTATAGTTGTGCGTATATATAAATATATACATATATATACAAAGATATATGTGTATATATATATATATATATATGTATGGATGTATGTGTGTATGTATAATTCATATACATATACATATATATGTGTGTATTTGTATGTATGTAATTATATATATCGTATAACTAAAAATAGGCTTCGCTCTATATAAACGACATTTTGTCATATTGTTGTTGTTGTTGTTGTTGTTGTTTGTTTGTTTTTTTGTTAATTTTTTTTTAGTTATTTTGTTTTTTTTTTTTTGTTGTTTTGGGTTTCTTTCTCAGTTCGTATTGCGCTCCGCTGCCGCACGCACACACTCACACGCACACACACGCACACACACATACACATACACACACACACAAACACACATCGCCAGATTGCAACGCCATGGCCAAATGGTCATTTGTTGTTGTTGTTGGCGGTTCGATGAGGCTGAGGTTGGGAGGGATAGTGTGAATGAGGGAGGGGTGCGCGGTGAGGGGTGAGAGCGCTGGCCGCAGGAGGACAAAACAAACATAGGCTGAGATTAAATACAAGAGGCGACCAGTGCGGGTACGCCCCAAAAATGAACTATAACTAGCAACGTCTTACAGACTAAAAAGTACTTGGTGGCCCCGCCCACAGTTCTGATGATAGGATATTGGCAGGAGCTAAATGAGTTGAACCCGCCGCCGTCGCCGCCGCCGCCACCGCCACCGCCGTTGCCGCCCGCTAATCATCCCAGCTAGTGGGATTCGCATTGAGTTCGCGCCGGACACGCCACAACATTAGCTCCATGCAGGCGCGCGAATCCTCGAAGCTGCTGTGCCCGGTGGCGCCATCGCCGCACTGGATCTCGCGATTGAGATGCGTTTTGGTCAGATGTCGCAAGGCACGGCGATAGGGGAAGCCGCTGGTGTGCGGGAACGCGATAGATGTATCGATCAGCGTATTGTGGACGAGACGCAGAGCGCGCAAATCATTGTCCAGGCCGTGTCCGATCAGTATGGTATCGGCATCGATCAGCTCCAGCAGATCGCGCTGCACCTCGGCGAGCGTCTTGACGCCGCTCGACTTGAGATCCTTGGCGGTAACGCCCGAATAGCGTGTATTATAGTCAACAATATCGGCATCGGGTCGCACATAATGCTCATACACCAGCTGACCGTTGAGCGCCACCAGCGAGACCTTGGTCACATCCAGGCCGCGGCCCGTATAGCTCATCTCGCAGTCGAGCGCATAGACGGCCGGCGGTTCCCGGCTGCGCGCCGATAATGCGGCACGCGGTCGTGTATGGACAAAATCATGATAGGGTCCATTCACGCCCACCACCGAGCCCGTCCACACGTGCAGCTCGTGTCGTGTGCAGCCGAGGGCCGACTCCTCGCTGGCATTGCAGCAGGTCCAGCGGCTGATCCAGGCGCTGCCATCGTAGCAGCGATGATACTTGCCCCAATGATAGCTGCACTCCTCGCGCGTCAAATACTGGCCGCTCAGCTCGTCGACCAGGAAGTCCCGCTTGCAGCGGACGCACTGCTTGGCCAGGCTGCGCTCGACGAGCGCATAGTTGCAATATAGCTCTAGGCCGTAGCCGCTTTCGGCGCTTGGCGCCGACTCGCATTCGCTGCCGCTCCACTCCCCGCCCGACTCCGAGTCTAGCGAGCGTGGCGATATGTTGCCCGAATCTGTTGATGTTGCCGTTGGACTCTCGCTGCTCTCGCTGCCGCTGCTGCTGCTGCTGCTGCCGTCGCCAGGTGGCTGCTCGTTGGCCTCAATGTTGTTGGGCTCCTCGAAATTGCCGGTGTTCAGTGTCAGGCCGTCGTGGCAATTGATTACCGTTAGAGCCGTCTCCGTGACGGCCATCACATGGGCGGCGGCAAAGCTCATGTGCGGCAAGCACTTGAAGATCTCGATGGCGCCATCGTGCACCACGCTGGCCACCGGAAACCCATAGACACGCAACAGATTCTGATCGATCAGGTAGCGACGCAGCTGGCGCAGCAGCGCCCCATCGTCGATGTCCAGGCGCTCGTATTGCCGCAGCGGCGGCACCAGAAAGTTAACATTCTGCCGCTGCGCCTTGTGCAGCTGCCGCTCCTCGCGCTGCCAGCCGGCGACAGAGTTTGGGGCATGTTTGCCGATGCTGCCACTGCCACATCCGCTGCCACTGCCACTGCCACTGCTGCTGCCGCTGCCGCTGCTGTTGCCGCTGCTGCTGCGTATGCTGCTGCAGCTGCTGCCGTTCGGCGAGCTGCCCGGCGAGCTGAGCGCCGACGAGGAGTTCGAGCTGTTGCCGCCGCACTTTGTCTTGCTCAAAATGTTGCTGTTGTTGCTATTGCTGTTGCTGTTGCTGTTGTTGTTGTTGTCGTTGCTGTTGTTGTTGTTGTTGCTGTTGTTGTTGTGGCCATTGTGCGGCTTGTTGTTGCATTTGCTTTGCTTGGCTTTGCCATTGTTGCTGCCCCGCTTCTGATTGCAATTGTTGCTGCCGCTGCTGTTGTTGCTGCTGTTGCTGTTGTTGTTGTTGTTGCGCCACTTGCTTTGCTTGCACTTGCCATTCGCTTTGCCGCACTGCTCCATCATGGGCATGGCCTGCCCCTGCGCCTGTGCCTGCGTCTGCGTCTGGCCCGTCTGTCTGGCCAATGCCTGCTTCATGGCCTGCGCCTTCTGCTGCCGCTTGGAGCGCGACTTGTTGCCGCAGCCGGCGGCACCATTGTTGCCATTGCCATTGCCATTGCCATTGCCATTGACATTGACATTGACATTGCCATTGCCATTGACATGGGCATTGTTGTTGGCCGGCCGGCATTTGGGCTTCAGGTTCAGGTGCTCGTCGCTCGAGTTGATGTCCTCGCTGGTCGCCTCGCTGCTGGTGCTGTTGCGATGTCCGGGATTGTGTTGGCCCAGATATTTCTCTAAAAAGAACAAAAGAAAATAATATTAAAATTAGTACGATTTTTTAGATTCTTTTTAAAATGTATATAAATAATGAAACTAGTTCTGGAACTGGAATCGAAAATAAAAGCAACTCAAACTACATCAAATTCACCTAGATCCATGCTTTCCCCCAAATCTCTGTGGTTCGCTCATGATCTAGTTCCAATTTGAACTAATTAAATGTGCTACACTCATGAGCAAGTTCTATAAGCCATTACAAATAATATGTAAATATGTTCATTTTTATCTACTAGTTCACTCGTGAGCTCCGGCTCTAGATAAATTCATTGAAAATACCGTATATTTCTTGTGGTCCAATGAACTAGTTCTCTTAGCTTAAACAATCACTTGTGTGTGAGCAAATGCCACGCATGAGCTCGCCGTAAATTATACCCGATCGATTAACTTAATTTATGAACTAGTTCATTTCGATTTAGCTATAAGCATATGCCATAAATTAATTGAAGCTAAATCTAAGACGATTTTCATTTAACGCGCTCTGTTTCGCTCGTGAACTAGTTCTTTTTGATGTGAATCAATCCCAGACTGTCTGTGCAGAGATTCCGCATGTGAATAACCAAATCTGAATATTTATTTCGTCTTTTTCAAGGTGTAGTAAATTTAGCTTACGTCAATTTACGTTGCTAATTTGTGAGCTGATAAGAACGCGTGTGTGTGTGTGTGTTGTGTGTGTGTGTGTGTATGGATGCCTGGCCTTATCAGCCGGTCGCAATCGTTGCTCGCCACGTGCTTTTTTTTTTATTTTTAAGAATGTACGTATTTATAATATTTTGTTTGTGCTCTTAAATACCCAGCTTCAGAGTCTATTATAGCCGCAAACCCTTCACGGTTCAAATTTCTTTTCATATTTCCCATTAACATTCAAATACATTAATTATTGTTCGCAATCCGTCAATAACTTAAAACTTATGCATTAGAATACAAAATAAATAAAAGATATTGCTTTGAACCAGCATCTGGTTCGTTTTAGTTTTAGGTTTAGCTGTTCTTAAGTTCGTTTTAGGGTTCGTTTTATGGTAAAGAAAATATTGATATTCCCCAGCTCCGTTTGGGTTCAAAACCAGTTCAACTTAATTTTAAGAAAATGTTTTTGATTTCAGAAAATTATCTTCTTTTAAAAAAAACTATTTCTTTGAGTGCATATAACTTATATACTGTGTATATTCGGAGTCAGATCGAATGTGATTATTTTCAGTCGGCACACTGGGTATCTGCACGTCGTGCTGTTGGCCCCAAAGTGCGTGCAAAGTTATTCAGAAAATATTTGTACGCACGACAAGACAATAAAGCTGTTGCGCCCACAAGGGGCGTGTGCTGGCCTGTTGCCTGTTGCCTGCTGCCTGCTGCCTGCTGGCTGGTATTACACAAAAGCCGAGTATTACTCATTATCAGCATAATTATTATAAATACATTTTGTGACTTCCGCATTTGGGGCTCATCAACAGGCAGAGGGGCGTGGCAGTCGTTGTTGCCAAGCGCTGCTTGAAGTGGGGGCCAGGGGGGGGCGGATCGGGTGTGGGGCTGGGCTAGAGCTGGCCAAGCTGTTAACCAGTTTCGTGCAAGACACGTGGCAAGTCATGGATCCGATTTAAATGCTGATCCGCACTATAGTTAGGCATTGTTCGTATTTATCAACTGGCCAGCTGTTCCAGAGCCCAAGTTCAACGAGAGACAAGTTTGAGGCAAATGTTTAATTAGCTAACACACGCACTCGGGCAAATATTTACTGGCAGCCATATGGCAAATATGTGCATGTGTGTGTGTGTGTGTGTGTGTAGCTCAAGTCGTTGGTAGATGCATGCACAACAATTTGCTATCTGTTTGAGTTGCATGCTTCCTATTTGCACGGCCAATTTGTAAAGTTTTGCGCTCAGGCAATTTAACGCCCGATGAGTTGTGACTGTGAGAAGTGCAGCCGCAACTCGGCCCACTCGAGTATATATGTATGTGTATATGTATATGTATATATCAATATATGTACATTTATCATATACATATGTGTGCTCGCAAGTTTGTTGACTCTGTGAAGGACACTTCGGATGTGTGTATGTGGAGCTCTATTTGGCATCATAGCTGCTGGCTGCTCGGGCACGTGATCTGAAACGTCAATTGGTCGATAATAAGCAGCCAATCGCCGCCGCTGCTGCTGCTGCTGCTGCTGCTGGCTTTGCATGTCAAGCAAATTTCTCCGCACGAAGTCATAAATCACGCATACGCCGCGTTGCCATCCCAACCCAAGCAGCAGCAGCAGCAGCAGCAGCAGCTGAAGCTGAGAGTCCCCCCAATTATTGTTTACACATGTGCAACACGTACTTAAACACGCATTGAAAACTGTTTGGCGATTAGATAAACGAGCTTCCCGAACACACACACACACACACACACAGACACACATATATACGCACTCACACACGCACATGCCGCCGTGCTGCTTTATCACTGAGCACACAAACACGCGCCAAAATCTTCGGCAGCCTTGAAAATCATATAAATATTCATGTGTGCGTGCGTACCTGTGTGTGTGTGTGTGCGTACCTGTGTTCGTGTGTGTGTGTGTGTGTTTGTCACATGTGTGATTAAAACGTAAACATAACATAATTATGCGAGGTGCGTTCCAAGCATTCAAAAAAGACAGAGACGCACATATGCATATGCATAGCTTTGAGAGTGCGCCTATTGCCATCTCTGTTACACGCACACGCAATGGAAGGTTCTAGCATGTCTGTTAGACATAAGAAGAAGAAGAAAAACTTGTCATTATGCTGTAATGACACATGCTTGGAGTTAAAGTTGAAAAAAAAAACTTCAGTTCAGCATAATTAATTGTTTTAGCTGCTAATTGACTGAAAAATGAATTGAAAACATTTAGACAAGCTTTAATTTAAGTTAAAGTAATTAATTCTGGTTGTTAGCGGCCTCTCTGATTTTTGGTTGACGCTTAACATTTGATGTTTTGATTTTATAATCAAACGAAAGCTTAAGTTGCCTCACATATTAATAAAAAAAATATATTGTCAAGCAAAGCTGAAAATTAATTTAAAGCAAAAATTAAACCTCAGTTCCGCAAAGCTGTTAGGTAAAATAATTGCTTTAAGATAAGTAGTGGAGAAAAAAAATGCTTAAATAAAATAAATTGCGAAAGCTATTTAGGAAAAAACATTTCCTAATAACAATAGAACAATAGAAAGCCGCTTCAGATCTTACGTAAATATATTAAGAACACGTTTGCATGGATTTAAAATAAAAAACAACAACTATTGAAATAATAATAATAATAACATGTGAAAACGATATAGTAATAGAGATTAAAGATGCAAAAAAAAAAGAAAAGAGTAGAGTCGAATGTCATTGGTGGAAGGCGCGAATGCGTTTAGTCAAGTTCTCAAGATCTGATTAATGTCATACTAGACGTAGAACCCTGGCCAAAGTCATTTAAATGAGCTTACAATAGTTTTGCTCTATGCATAACCCGGCGAGTGTTACAGCACCCAAAGAAACAACAACAACAACAAGAACAGCAACAACTATTGAAAGTCCCTGATAAGATTGCAAGGCGAAATACAAATGTGGCTACTGTGGCCGCTTGATAATCTATGTTCTAACATAGTGTCTAGTATTTAAGTATATAGCTATATATATGTATATATGTATATCATACATCAGGTTGGTGCACACTATATAATTTGGCATTTGTTGTTGCTCTTAGTGCGTGAAAAAGCAACAACAAAAGCAACTACAACAAAACCATGTGAGGCATCCAAAAAGCCGCAAGTTCGCACAACAACAGCAACTCGCATTATATACATACATATGCCGAAAAATCGAATAATAGAATATTGTATTTTGTTTTTGTTTGATTTTGTGCGGTTTCCCTGTGCCCTGTTGCGTGAAATGAAATGAAAATGTGCATGCAAATCATTTTGACAATGATTGTAATCTAATTTTGTGTTTGTTTGTATTTTTGAAAAAAACAAAAAGAAAATGCTTTTGTTTAGCAAATTAACTAGTGGGAAGGCAGCTTGATTCTGTGTCGCGACTGTTGCGTTTTTTAGTAGTAGTTTTTTATACCCAATTCTGGGCGACAAAAACCAAAGAGAAAAGGCTGGCAATACGCTTGACGGTTCAAACCCACTGCCTGCCTTTTGTTCCCTTTTGAACCTTTATTTATCAATAAATGAACAAAATTTGTTTACGTATCTAAAATTGCCCGTTCTACTGAGAATATTGCAAGCCTCAGAGGTTGCGGGCTAAATTTGATCTCAGGCCAAAATTTAGATTAAGCCAATTGTTGGGGTTCATATTATATGTGTTTTGGGGGCCACATTTGCCCAACAAATATATTTAATATAAAATATAGATACATATATACATAAATATGTATGTTATATTACGAGCTTGATTAAAGGTTTATTTTTATATGTCACAAAATTTCACGAAAAATCGAATCTACGGTTTAAAAACCGATTCGCCGCCTTAATTGCGATTAAAATTTGGATATTTGAACTTTAGCCCCAAGATGCTTCAAATGTGATGCGAGTCATGAGCTGCAAAATAATTGGCTATTGATTTCTTTGTTGGTTAGCTATCAGCACGTTTTGAGGCTTTTCAGACGTCCCACCAGGTAAGTCTCTATTTAGGGCAGGTGGACGCATTGCTTGCTGGTTGCCGGGCAGTTGGCCGATAAGATGTTGCCAATGGCATTTCGTTTGGCCCATGCGGCAAAAGCAGCGATTGTCTAGCCGGTTGTCAAGTTCGAGTAGACCTCTCGTTGCCATGCCCCTAATCAGCTGACAGCCGTGAGCTGCGGCTATCCCGAAATGGGAAAAAGTGAAAATCAATTTAATTCACAACTGAGTTTTAGGAGCAGGCATCGTAAATCAACACACACACAATCTCTCGCTGCTATGACACGCTGTTAATGTGCCCGTCTCACAGCTATGATAATTCAGCTGGCGAG